AATTTATGAACATACAGAAAAGATAAAAAAAAGAAAAAAACGAAAAGTATGTGAAAGTGAAGTCGCTAAATACCCCCAATGTAGCTTTTGTCGTCTATTTGCTGCCGAGTCTTTTGCTACACTATCTTCTTCAACGGAAGAAATGTTCACCAATCTGCTTTCTTGGATTTGAACACTGGTAGATTCCACAGCGGGTTGACTCGTTTCTTGGTCAATGCAATGGTGAATTCCGATGGCCTTCTTATGGGATTTGCTTCTCCCATCACCTAACCATGTATTATATATTTCAATCGATCTTCAAATCTCGCAAAAGAAAAACAAATGCTTACTAATTACAATACATTCTCTTGCACACACCTTTGTCTCTCTTGTGCACTTTCGATTTGGCTTTGATTTGCAAACGCCTTTTGTGCAATTCCTAAAAGTAAAAAACATAAACAAGAAAGGCCTTTTAAATAAGTTTTTTTTTTTTTTGGCAACAAATGATCAAAAGAGAAGCAACGATTCAACTCAGTTCAACTCAGCTGCATCTTCCCAAATAAAATAAGCTAATAATTGTGAAGCATAACAAAACAACTGTCATATTTCAACGTTAAACAAACCAGAAAAAAGAAAAAAAAAACACATAAAATAAAGAGAATCGTCAATTCATCACGCAAATTAATCAGCAAACAGATATTTACCCAATTGAGGGATTTTGTTCCTTTCATACCAAAATATTCAAATCGAACGATTATTAAAATAAATAAAAAAGGTATAACCTGAAATTTAGAGAGCTGGGACTCAGTGAGACCAGTTTTGGGCTTGAAATTCGGCCGTAAGGAAACCGATGAAGCGATCGCTGCTTCTCTTCTTTCGTCAGCTTCTTGCTCTGTTTCTCGCTCCATTCCCAATTTTTTTTTTTTATTATTCTATTTTTCTTAAATTAATAATATATTTATTTTAGAGGATTTGGAAATAAAGGGGGAAATACTAATGGGCTCACTTATTAACTTTTAAAAGTTGAAACATTCGGCCTTTTAAGCCCAATTCGTGTTTGAAATTAGGTTGACCCATCTTTCTGATATTCCCCTCTTCTGGTCAAACCACCGCACTTGCTGCATTTTGGTATTTTCTTTCGGGCGATATGCCCGTTCTGATCCATCTATATAGCAAACCATTCTCCGAAAGAGAGGCAAGAAAACACTCATTTGAATCTCTTCCTAATTTCTTAAGATCTTTGTTCTTCGATAAGCTAGTGAAATCCACGTTTGAGTGAAAGAAATACAAGAGAGTGATTGGGTGTATGGGTAAGAGAGTTGACCAAAAATGGCTCGGGTCAGACTTAGGGTTCCGATGATCGTGCTTTCTATTATTTTGTTGCGGCACCACCGTAAACAAAAATGTTTTAGACGAGAAAAAACATGACATTGGAAACTGAGCCGTAAACAAAAATGTTAAGCACCTTTTTCATAGAATTTTTGCATTCTTAGATCAATGTAAATAAAAATAGAAAGTTCTTTCAAAAAATGTCATAGATTCTTAGATTAATCTGTAATCCCTAAATCCCACCTAAACCTATCTTGAAAAGCAAAAGGCCCCTAATAGTATAGGATTATGTATTATATCCCGTTTATCTTCGAATTCAAATGGGTGCCCAACAAATATCAAGTTGTCTTGTTTGGTGTTAATTGATATAACTCTAGCAATAGTTAGATCGGTTGAACTCCAATATTGATTGGACGGGTCTAGGTTAAATTTACACGGTTCTAATCGCTTCTGACTTTGTAATAATGCACGAATCGGGTCATCGTTTAGGCAAATCATTTCCAGAACCGGCCCATTGTCAACCATAGATCTTATAGACAAGTAACAATTATATGTAACTTGGTTTGAAATTTTGTTTCATGTTAACGTGCAGTTCTTACAAATTCTTAAAAAAAGAAAAAGAACCCAAAATAATAAACTACTACTTTTTAAAGGGCTCATTATATTGTATAATTATTTTTTTGACCAAATGAAAGACAGATTAACATAGGAAGATCTAGTATCTCCAATGACTTTCAGTAGCTTCAAAGACAAAACATTTACTTGTTAAATGAAAGTCAATCGCCTATGTGAACATAGTAATTGCATGTTATGTAATTCATTGACTTTCAAATCTTTCAAAATTTAATATATTACCGAAAAAAAAATTGATAACAATGGCATGTTCACTTAATTATCTTCTTACTTCACCTTTTGTTTTAACAAATTATTACTCTTCCTTCCTTCCCTCTCCAAAATCCAAATAACATATTCATCTTAACCAACCAACAAATGAAAGCACATGCAAAACTAGTACGTACGACACAACAACTTGCATTTTTTTCCAAACGATGATTAACCTTAAACTCACCAAACGCCACTTCGCAATCTCCAATCGCTTACTTCGTTTGTTTCTTTTCGTCGTCGGTATTTCTCTCGGTGTCGTTTTCACTCTCTGTCTCAGAACCTTCTCTTTCGCCAACAAATTTCCACCCCTCCCGATATTTCTCTTCGCCACCACTTCAATATCAATAAACGCATCAACAACCCCGCCTCATAATCAAACCCCACCACCACCAACTCCGCCACCGCAAAAACCTTCATCTGATCACATTGTTGATGAAGTTTCTTTGAACAATATTAACAATCCGACAACATTTGGGCCACTAACTCTGCCGCCACTAGCTCCACCACCTCATCTGCCACTGCAAAAACATCTATCAGATTACACTATTGATAATCGGAGAAAATTAGAGCTCACGCACAATATGAGCGATGAAGAACTACTTTCGAGAGCGTCTAAAGTTATTGTGCCACATGTTCGAGATTATAAAGTGGCCTTCATGTTTTTGACACCGGGACCATTGCCCCTTGCCCCGTTTTGGGAAATGTTTTTCAAAGGCTACGAAGAAATGTACTCTATCTATATCCACCCTCATCCTTCGTACAACGATTCACACGTGCCTAAGGACTCTGCTTTCTACGGCAGAAGAATACCTAGCCAGGTTGGTTATTAACAAAGATCATTATTGCTTGCATTTCGAGTTCTCATCGATAATCTTTGATATATATTCGACTCACATAAACTCGCATTAATCTATTGTTTATCTCTTGCATTGCATTAATTGTCATTACGCGCACATTTTCGTGGATGTAAATTTTTAAATGCAACTCACAATTGATGCAATGTAATGTAGGTATCAACTAGGTGACGACGGTTCACGAACTGCCACCGTTACTATATAATTTTGAATTGAAATAAAAACATGATCTTTAATTGGAAACAAACATAAATCATAATTCACAACTGACAATTTAATTAGTTGAATTCAAGTTTACCGTCTAACCTGCGGTTAATCCAGCTCTTCGATCGGTTCACCCGCAGATTCATGATCTACAAACGAAAAAAAGCACAGAAAGCTAATTAGACACTAGGAGAAAAATCACAAAATTTTGTGTGTGTATGTGTGTGTGTGTGTGTGTGTGTGTGTGTGTGTGTGTGTGTAGATATATATATATATATAGATGCTGATTTTTTGATTGGATGCAGGCGGTGAAATGGGGAACAATATCCATGATCGACGCAGAAAGAAGGCTACTGGCAAACGCGCTTCTAGAACCTTCCAATCAGAGATTCGTACTAGTTTCCGATTCGTGTATCCCCGTCTTCAATTTCACGACGGTCTACAGCTACCTCGCCGGAACAAACCAGAGTTTCTTAGCATCGATCGACGATCCCCGTAAATCCGGCCGCGGCCGGTACAGCAGCCAGATGTCGCCGGAGATAACCCCCGAGCAGTGGCGGAAAGGCTCCCAGTGGTTCGAGATCCGCCGCGATCTGGCCGTGAAAATCGTCTCCGACCGGAAATACTACGAGATTTTCGGCGAGTTCTGCGTGCCGCCCTGTTACAGCGACGAGCACTATTTGCCGACGGTGGTGAATATTCTCCGGCCGGAGATGAACTCCAATAGGACGGTGACGTGGGTTGATTGGTCGCGGGTCGGACCTCATCCGAGGAAATTCGGGCGGGTCGATGTGAATATTGAATTGTTGGATCGGATCCGATTTGGATCCGAGTGTGTGTATAATGGGGATAGTACCAATGTGTGTAATCTTTTTGCTAGAAAATTTCTGCATAGTTCAATTGGGCCTTTGTTGAAGTTTGCTCCATTGCTTCTAGGTTTTGATCCTTGATTAATTATTTTTTTTTCTATTTTTTTTTTAATATTAATTGTTTCAATCGTAATTAATTGTTAGGCTTTGATTACCAAAATTAACCAAAATTAACTAAATAGTAAGATTTAGTTTGATGTTTGGTTAGTTCTATTATTTTCAAAAAATAGAAAAGTAATTTTTTTTCCGAAAAAAATTAAAAGAAAATTTCTGAAAAAAAATTGAATTTTTTTTTTTAAATCGAAAAAAAAAGTTCGAAAAAGATAAAAAAGATTTGGATAAGATTTGAAAAAAATATTGTATTAGATCAATTTTTATTAAGTATTTCAAGTATATGTATGCTGATTAATTATAAGAGTAAATTACACTTATACTCCTGAGGTACACTAAAATAACTTTAAGGTCCCTCTAGTATTAGTAATTACAACCACACCCCAAAATAATTACTGGAGCCAAGATTTCATGTCCTGGGGATCGATATGCACTATATTTGTTTTCCACTGGCCGTTAATGCGACAATAGACAAAAAATTATAAATCTTATATAAAATAATAATAATAATTTAAGAAATAATATGAGAACCATGTCACCTCTTATTTTTATGTTGTCTTCAGTACCACTGCCTGAAACTAATAGTTCGTTAGAACCCTAACGAAATAACTTATTCAATGCATTATTTCATTTGAGTTTCTAACAATATTTCAGGGAGGGAGATTGTAATTATCAATACCACAGGGACATTAACGTTATTTTAGCATACTTCAGGGGTTGGGATGTAAATTACCCTAATTATAATTAAAAAAATTCCATGGCGCAAATCATACTAGACAACACGTTCTCCTCCATTTCTTAGTCTTGTCCCTCAGTTGACCTGAGTCTTTGTCAAACAACAAATTAAATTCATCTCAAGCTAAGCAAACAACCAAACATGCAAACACATCTAAGATTCCATCATCTAAATATATATACCATCTATTTTTATACATGTTAAGCACGTATGTACACAACAACTTAATTAGTATACTGCTTTTTTTTTCGAATTAACGATGATTAACGTTAAACTCTCCAAACCGAGCCGCTCCGACAACATCTCCCGCCGTTTACATCATTTGTTTATGTCGATCGTATGTGTTACATCTCTTTGTTTCGTTTCCACTCTATGTCTCCAAAGCAGCTTCTCTTTCACTAATGTCCCGTTTCTCTTATTCGCAACCCCTTCAATATCGATCAACGGTTCTTTGAATAATAGTAATAATAATAATAATAATCAGACGATATTTGGGGGGCTCATGCACAATATGAGCGACGGAGAGCTACTTTTGAGGGCGTCGAGGGTTGTTAAAATCATGCCACGTGTCGTTCAAGATGTACCATATTGTAATAGTAGAGTGGCTTTCATGTTTTTGACACCGGGGCCGTTGCCCCTCGCCCCATTTTGGGAAATGTTCTTCAAAGGCTACGAAGGAATGTATAGCGTATATGTACATCCACATCCTTCTTACGATGATTTTCACGTGCCTCGGGATTCTGCTTTCTATGGACGAAGAATACCTAGCCAGGTTTGTTTATTAACTACTAGCTCATTCAATGATATTTACTTGATTATTGCTAGCATTTCGAGTTCCCGTCAACCTTTTCTGAGGCCGGTCTACAAAAAACACGCCCCTCATCTATCCACAATTACCGAAAACACTAGTAGAAATTTTGCTTATTACTACGAATTTGTTTGCTACGGTGAAAAACCGTAATAAAAGGTACTTTTTACTATGGAACAATTTTGAAGTCGTAGTAAATACTAGGATTTACCGTAGCAAAAAAATATTTGATACGGACATTTACCGTAGCAAAACTTTTGTCATGCCCGTATATGATACGGGGAAAATTCGTAGCAAATGCGTAGTAAAAGCCTTTTTACTACGAATTTGATACATTTTGCTACGGTTAATAATCGTAGTAAAGAGCCATTTTTCTACTAGTGAAAAAACTCCTAACTTTGTTGAAAAATCGTCGAAATGCTTTTGAAAATTCGTCACAATGAACATATTAGGTTGGAGTTCGCATAAAATTCTTGTAAGGGGACATTATATTGAAACAAATTTAGGTTTTTTTTAGTAATTATGGATACTTGATGGGTTTTTTGGTAATTTGACCATACTTAAAGGGAGTTCGGTAATGATTTTTTTAATTTAGACATTGCACATTGTTTTGTTAAAAAAAAATTGGTCAACCGTTAATTTAAAGGGAAATTTCGGTAATTACAAATATTTTTGGGGATTTTTTGATAATTAGACCTTAGTTTACGAGGTTTTGGTAACTTACCGTATATACAATGTTGTGAAAATGTACGTGTGTGTGCGCGCGCAATTGATTCTCACAGAACTCAAACCAAACACACAACGAATTCAGCTACGATGGAACAACTTTATTGATCAAAAAACAGATGTACGTTAAACGAGAATTCAAATACAAACATAGCTAAAGAAAAAGAATCAGCAAGCCCTAATTGCTCTAACTTGATGCAAATACAATGCAGCCAGTGCAATGGGGAACAATGTCGATGGTCGACGCGGAAAGAAGGCTCCTAGCAAACGCGCTTCTAGAACCTTCCAACCAGAGATTCGTACTAGTTTCCGATTCATGCATCCCCATCTTCAACTTCACCACGGTGTACAACTACCTCACCGGAACAAACCTCAGCTTCCTCGGTTCGGTCGACGACCCCCGTCGTGTGGGCCGCGGCCGGTACAGTCGGCGGATGTCGCCTAAGATAACCCTCGGGCAGTGGCGGAAGGGCTACCAGTGGTTCGAGATCCACCGTGACCTGGCGGAAAAAATCATCTCCGACCGGAAATACTACGATCTTTTCGTGAAGTTCTGCTTCCGGCGGCCTTGCATCGGCGACGAGCACTATTTGCCGACCGTGGTGAACATTCTCTACCCGGAGATGAACTCCAATAGGTCCGTGACGTGGGTTGATTGGTCGGTGGTTGGGCCCCACCCGAGGGAATTCGAGCGGGCCGATGTGAATGTTGAATTGTTGGATCGGATCCGATTTGGATCCGAGTGTGTGTACAATGGGAATACTACAAATGTGTGTAATCTTTTTGCTAGGAAATTTCTGCCTAGTGCAATTGTGCCTTTGTTGAAGGTTGCTCCATTGATTCTAGGCTTTGATCCTTGATAAATTAATTTTTCTTATAGAGGATTATTTTTTACAAATTAATATGATTTAATTGGTGAATATCATTTTCTTTTAATAATTTATTTTGCCACCCTGTTTTTTTTTCCTAGAGTATCAATTATATGGGTTAATCACAAAAAAACCCATGACAAAAGCACTTAATTAAAAGAGGGACATCCAACTTTTTTGTCTTTCAAATAAATCCAGTTCATTCAAACTTATTTGCAAATAAGGAAAATCCTTTTATATATACCAAAATTACCCTCAATTCACTGAAACCTAATTCAACTACAATTTCATGATTTACATCACAATTTAGCTCAATTTCATCAATTAATAAATTTTAACCCTAACTTTAATGTTGACCCCAATTTTGACCCGCCGCAACCGGAGACCGCTGGTCGCTGCCGTTGACTTTTTTTTTTTTTTTTTGGAATTTTTTTTTTCCTGAAATTTGTTTCCGGCCGGTCAACTGCCGTTGACCGCCGGATCTCCGACGTTGACTTTTTTTTATTTTTATTTTTATAATTTTGTTTTTTCTTAAAAAAAATATTTTAATTAATATTACTGTCTTGGCTGCTAAATTACTGTCTCCGACAGTTATTTAACTGTCGGAGACACTAATTTAACTGTTAAATGATTTTTTTTTCTTCAAAATATTTTAATTAATATTATTGTCTTTGCTGCTAAATTACTGTCTCCAGCAGTTATTTAACTGTCGGAGACAATAATTTAACTGTTAATTGACTTTTTTATTTTAAAAAAAAATATTTTTAATTAATATTATTGTATTCGTTGCTAAATTACTGTCTCCAGCTGTTATTTAACTGTCGGAGACAGTAATTTAACTGTTAATTGTTATATTAATATTACTGTTCGAGAAAATAATATTCATAATATTACAGTCCCAAACAGTAATATTACTGTTTGAGACAGTAATTTAGTAGCCAAAGATAACAATATTAATTAAAATATTTTTTTCTAAGAAAAAAAAAAGTCAACGGTGGTTGATTGACCGAAAAAAAATTTCAGGAAAAAAAAAAGTTTTCAAAAAAAAAAAAAAAGTCAACGCCGGAATCTGGCCGGAAAAAAAATTCAGAAAAAAAATTATTTTTTGCAAAAAAAAAATATTTTGGAGGTTAATGTGATATGTTTGTTTAAATCCGGGGTCAATGTTAATATTAAGGAAGTTAGAGCATAATGGATAGAATTGATAAGAATTTATTATGAATGGTATTAACCATCTTAGACTAAAGAGATGAGGATGAACTTAATTGAGAGACTATTTTTATTGTGGACCAATGTGCATTTAAATCCCATATGATGAGCCTTTTTGCCATTCGCCCCAATTATATTTAGAATTTAGTATTTAAAGTAGGTGTACCGAGTATGATAGCTTTTTTAAGCCAAAGTATTAATGCATATATGCATAGTTACCAAAACTAATTGTATCTACCAATTTAGTTGACTTTTTGTGTGAAAAAAATCAACTTCCTCGTAATTGCTAGTTTTGAATTTCGTAAATTGAATTCCAATTCTTTAGACACTTATAACATAAAATATTTATTAATATTGATATTATAACTGTTACTTTTCGAAAAATAATAGTAGAAAAATAAAATCGGATCGAAATTAGTATCTAATTTGCATTCCAATTTCCAACCCTACTCGAAATATAGAAACTCTACTTGATGAAAAGGGTTAGTAATAATTAATGAAATTTTGAATAACCCAAGACTAGAGCATTTTGTAATCGTACCTAGCTACCATTTTATTTTCTCAAAAATAAATTATATATCATTAATGATATCCCTACAAATTGGATGCCTGCCGAAGTAATGATATTCACTTATACATTTTGAAGATTCTCAATAAAGAAAAAAAGAGTAATTCGCCGGAACCGGACAATGGACGCTCCAACGATGGAGGATTACTTGCAGTTATTTGTGGAGGAAACGTCGCGCTACAACGACATTGTCCTGGGATCGCTGTTGCCGGCGAATTGGTTGGCCCCACTCCCTCACTTCTTCAGAGGATGGCTCCGAAACTACATTGGAGGCACCTTCATCTATCTAATTTCTGGGACCTTATGGTGCTTTTATATATACTACTTGAAGCGCAATGTCTATCTTCCCAAAGGTGTGTGTTATTTTCATTTATGGACGTTTCACTCGTTTTGTGCTTCCTACGCGATGATAACTCGCTCTTTCTGTTTCATAATAATTACCGTCTTTTTTTAAAAAATATTTTTGTTTCAAAGAAGATTTTAAATACTGCATGAAGTGCATTTTTCTTATTTTAACCTTATTAATTCAGCTCTAAGTATTGACTCTCTCTTATCATATCATCAAATATTCAAGGTTGCTTTAGGTTTTTAATGTGTTTTTCCCAAAATCAAGACAAATTTATTGACATTCTTAATACTTGTGCAAAGTTGAATAACGACAACTAATTAGGAACGAAGGGATTATACTGATAAAACTTTTTTTTAAATTAATTACAGACGCGATTCCTTCGAAAAACGCGATGCTTTTACAGATAGGAGTTGCGATGAGAGCTCTACCGTGGTACTGTGCTTTTCCTGCAATGACGGAGTACATGATCGAACATGGTTGGACTAAATGCTTTTCGAGGATAAGTGACGTCGGTTGGATTGCCTACCTTTGTTATCTGGCGATGTATCTCGTATTTGTCGAGTTTGGAATATACTGGGTGCACAGAGAGTTGCATGATATAAAACCTCTCTATAAGTATCTACATGCCACACATCACATCTTTAACAAGCAAAACACACTTTCCCCGTTTGCCGGTATTTTTCGTACTCTCTCGTCTCCGTTTCTTGTTATATATTTTTGCACTTCCTTCCATTTTGAACTATAAAAAAAGTGAAGGTTTATGATTTTGAACTACAATTTGTATCGTCGAAATTAAATCAAGACTTACGATTTAATATATATATTGTTTCCGTTTAGGTTTGGCTTTCCATCCCCTCGAAGGCATACTGCAGGCAATGCCCCACGTCTTAGCTCTCTTCGTAATACCAACGCATTTCACTACGCACATGGCATTGTTATTTATAGACGCGATATGGACAACGAATATCCACGACTGCATACACGGGAAATTATGGCCCGTTATGGGTGCGGGGTACCATACCATACACCACACCACGTATCGCCACAATTACGGCCACTTTACAATATGGATGGACTGGATGTTTGGAACTCTTCGTGATCCTGTCGAAGATGAAGCCAAGAAGATTTAATGTCTGGTTCGATTCGAAGTTTAGTGTTTGGTTGTTCGTTTTTAGATTTTTATTTTTTATTTTTTTTCTTACGGGCTTTTGATGTATGTTTTATTCACTTAAAAAAGAAAAACATTCAATAAACAGTTTTTATTCGCACCCCTCCTTTTTTTAATTATAAATTGATTCGTTTATGTGGATTTTAAATGATTCTAAATCAGAGTAATTTTAAATCATTCCTCCAAATTCTTTTTCCCAAATTAAATCCTTCCATCCAAACAGAGCCTTAATTAGGTACTTAGTGGAGATTCTCGAGTTGGGAGACGAATACGAAGGGATTCTTGCACGCGAGTTTTGGTTTGACAAAAAGATGGAGTAGATGTAGATACACCCAACGGCGAACAATCAACTCCGATAGCATGATAGGGAGCAAAATATATAAAGTCGAGGGGCTTAAATGCAATTAGGGCTACTTATTAGGGCGTTAATTCAGTTGTAGTTGGGCCTAGATTTGATATCCCTAAGTTCTGGTCTGCAATTGGATTTTCAGTCCGTCCAATGGGTCATAATGAAAATTCATAACTGAAATATAAGTGTGAATGTTGTGCACGTGACATATCTTATTCTGATATAGTAATATTAGAACATATGTATAACGGACACGGAAACAGCGGTGCGTAGAAACACGGAACTGACACGGGGAAATAGCATATCGCAAAAATGAAGATACAGAAACCTGGAGGAAACATGTAAATATTAAAAGTATAGGGGTAAATTTACAAATATGCTAAATAAACATATATAAGTTTTTATTTATATATATTTTTTTAATATTTCAAAACAAACATTTTCAAAATAAACGTTATTATCAACTATCAGTTTGAAATTTATCATTAAATCATGTAAATATTTAAAGAATTAACAAAAAATATTGGAAATTTGATATTTAAACATGTTTCTAACTTTTCAGAAATTACAAATATCCCATAAGGTGTCCATCAGGTATCTTCGAGTTTCGGACACAAACGTGTCTGAAAGAAGTTTTCGTGCTACATAAATAAACAGTAGCTCCTAACCTACATTAAAGAAATTGATGGAATACCAAATTTGTACTTCCCGGGAAAAAAAGATTCCCTTAAAAGTGGGGAATTGTTAATTATTCTATAAACATAAATAAATGAAGCAGTGACCTAAATATAAAATATGGCCCGTTCTGAAAACTGTGGGCGGCCACGTGAGCTAAGTTTAGCAGATGGAAATATACTAGCTAGTGGCAGGCCCGTTCCTAGGAAATCGGGGGCCCAAGGCGAGCTATGTAGATCTTTGAAACGGGGGCCCCAACCAGGGGCAACATTGCCTTTTTTTTTGGTTAAAGAACTTGGGGGTATGGGGGCATCGCCCCCGATTTTTTTTAGAGGTGATGAGTGTAAGTTTTACACTCAATTTATATTTTCTTATGAGGATTTTTGTGGAATTTTAGGAATTTCGATTGCACTAGGAAACTCCTATATATTACCAAGTCTTCATTACACCTATATAAGATAACCTCAAAGACGAAAAACTGGACTTTTTCTACGCAATCTTAGAACAAGAAGAACGAGATAACGAAGAATCGAAGACAAAGACTTGACGAATCTTCATCATAGTTCTTCTTTTATTTCTCTTTTATGAATATATGTACTTTTATTTTATATATATTATCAATAAATACTAATGTATAAGGACTATTTTTCTAAAATCGGGGCCCCCTAAAATTCATAAAACATCGGGGGCCCAAGGCGACCGCCTTTTTCGTCTCCCCTCAGAACCGGGCCTAGCTGGTGGAATAAAAAAACATGAACATTTCGAGTTCAAATTCACTTGCCAGAGTGTTTCGATTGAACTTGTCGCACATAACTTGTTGAATATACTTTATAATCGCGATGTGGTTTGTGGGGTCGTGTTTGCACGAGAACGGAGTTTACTCCGTGTACATTTATTTTGGTTTGCGTTTTCTTTGTAAAGAACAACCCTAAATTAAACTAGCATTCGCCATTTTGTTTACCTACCATTTTATTTTGTAGAAGATAAATTATATTTCATTAATGGAATTGGGCATGCATCTACATATGATCTACCCCTACAAAAACCAGTTGCCTGCCGAACCTGTTATCGAAAGTGCCCACGGCATCTTGTATGTAGTAGTTTCATCCACGAAAGAGATTCGTTTATATTTTTAAAGATTATCCTAATTTCAATTTTAATGCCTTAGGATACCAAACGTTAAATCAATTTTTTTTTGTTTATCAATCCTTTTGAAACTACTGCAAAACATAAATAAATAAAATCTCATCAATATATTTTAAAAAAAATCACAAAAAAATATATTACGAAAAACAAAAATAACAAAATTAATTCAGCTATTTTGTTATCAAGTTATTTAAAAATTATATTTTATTCAAAAATATTTTTTTCACTAATTACAATAAAAGATCCATCCATAGAATAATTTAGTGAAAAAATATTATTTATTTTTAAGAAATAAAATTTATTTTTTTTCATTTTGTATGCTCGAATATTTATATATGTTGATGGTAGCAGAAAATAACAATTTAATTTGTTATTTTGCACAATGCACATTGAAAATAAAAACAAACAATAAAAAATAAAACTACCATCATTAAGTTTTAAATGTTCCAATTAAAAAAAAAAGTTTTAAATGTTCAATTCAAGGTGCTTTAAACTGATTTATTATATTTCGGTGCAAAATGCTATTAATTTTTTTCAAGGGCGCAAAGTAGGATTAAACCCAATTTTAATCCATTTTGTAAACTTGTGTATAGTGTTTTTTCTTTAAATCCTTTATTATTAACATAATTCCAAGAATTGATTGGATTGAATTGACAAATCTAAAGAAGAAAAAAAAGAATTAACACATTTTCTTTCCCCAATTTATTTCCTTAATGACATATGTACCTAGGTTTTAATTCACTACATAAATAGTATGACATATTGTTTTT